AGGAACCTAGTGCTTGTTCTGGCAATATGCGCCATGAGATACTATAATTACTATTTTCATAGTAAAAAAATTAATGTAAAAAATATCGCTTTTCATAACTTTACTGTAAAAAAAATTTATTTTAAAAACCCCAGATTGGATAACGTATGCGATTAAAATAATCGTGTAGTACCAAATAGTATTAGATTACGCTCGATGTATATAAACCCGACGATGTACAGCATTTCAGGTTAGTTTAATTTTTTACTTCTTAGTCGTCAATAATCAGTATCAGAAATATGGCTCACAAGGCTCTAATCGCTATTCTTTTCATCGCAACTTACGTGGCTGCAGTATGGGTATGTAAATTTACAATATAAAAATAGATTTTTATTTCCAAGTAATTTTTATAAAAAAATATTTCCAATTTACTTTAAAGTAGTGTTTAAAAAATGACGTTATTACTTAAGTGTACAATTTTCAGGGCTACCCAATGAACTACGAAGATAATGTGGTAAATAAATTTAATTAAACAATTGTTTGAAAAAATTCTATTTTTTATTTTTCGTCCATTTCTGATTATATTTGTACTATATCTTAAAAAATTATTTTCGCAAAAGAGCTTTATTGTTACTACTCATAAAAAATTCCAAATGATAGTATCTTACTAAGCAATATATACGATTTTTACACGAAATTTTCAGTTTTACTTTTCACCCTAAAAAAAAGAGAAAAAAAAATAAAACGTATTATTGATTCAGTAAAGAAAAAAAGCCGTTTTAACAAAAAAATTTTGTTTCTACAGAATTTCAGTGATGAAATCCGCTTCGGTCTAGGAAATAATCTGATAGTAGTTGAACGTATTGAATTAGAAAACATGCAAGGACATAAACGCGTTACTAAAACTACTACAACGCCTTCTCAACCTTAAAATACGTTCTTCACTATGGAAATCATGCGTCCCATGAAGTTCATTATCAAAAACTTTAAAACATTTTCATTAACTACGACTTTTCTGATTAGTGGATAATCACGATATGGCGATTTTATGACTACAACGTTTGGTTGATTATTGGGTATCATTATTTTTGTAATAATATTTGTTCGTCATTTTCCAATAAAATCTTACTTTAATATCAGAATTGCTTTTGGTTTTATATATGTTACCTACAACAGGATACAGTATAATAAAGTTTAGAGAGAGTGAAAAATCAAAAGAAATGACTTGGTCACATTGTACCCTTTGTAACTTTTTGTGATCGGCATTTCGCTGGACTAGTGTGCTGCATCGAACTGAAATCAATGCAAATTATGAATACATACTTTTTCTGAAAACAAAAAAAAAAAACAAAAAAAAAATAACAAGGAACTGACGCAACTGACGATTAAAAAACATCTACTTTGGAACTGAAACATGTAAATTATTGAATTTGATTAAACGTCCACTTATCACGTACATTTATGTTGACACTGTCAGTGACTGTCAACAACTGATTAGCCATACTTATTAGCTACTGAAATTTAAATTGTCTTTGCAGTAAAAGGTACGATTTGTTAAGAGTAACAAAGACATACCTTTTTTTTAAAAGTAGGGTACCGACATGTTGACGTGTTAACTTTTACTAAAAACATATCGGAGAGAAGACGTGAAAAATTATGCGTGGAAAATGAGCCTTTCTGTTAGTAACTTTAGAATTATATTTATATAAGTAATACATCTTTATATTGCAATTTAATAGGCCCCAAAAATGAAATCGACGCACTGCAATTTGCATTGTTTTTTTTTTTCGATTTTCTTTTAAAACACTAAATTAAAAGTATAATGGTACGATTAACAAAAAATTAAGCTTTCTTGTCAAGAAAGTATTAGACAGAATATAGATAAAAAANCAACGTTTGGTTGATTATTGGGTATCATTATTTTTGTAATAATATTTGTTCGTCATTTTCCAATAAAATCTTACTTTAATATCAGAATTGCTTTTGGTTTTATATATGTTACCTACATGTGAGTTCGAAACATAAAAGGAACACTATGGGAAAAGCATACTTGACGAATAAAATGTCTTTTCAGATATAGTTGATCAATATGATTTCGCTAAATAAACCTCGGCACGGTATGGCAGAAGTACATACTGTTTATGGTAAAAATTTTTTCGGTACAGCTCACGTATACTTGAATGTTGAAATCTTCAAAAAATACTGTTCGAGCCGAGGTGTGATTTCGTACGAAATTAACGAGGAAACGCCTGGAAAAGAGAAAAGTGAAGCTATTATGGTGGAGAAGCGGGAGCGTGTACTGCACCATTATCATTAATCATTTGACGATGAACCCTCAGCATCGGCGTAATCACTGCGCTGGTACTTTTATACTCGCATCAATACATATACTTGCAGAAATATGGGGGTTTCCGTGGGCTACGGGGGGAGAGCTAGGATGTGAGACAGACAACCGATGCGACTTGGTTCTTATGTATAGACAACTATATTTGCACCATAATGAGTTTAACACACGTATTCATACACACAAATCTATGTAATCAGCGTATCGTAGAGAGGATATGATATGTATGCACTCCTGTTGCGCAAGACATGCACGTATATTGGACATTTTTTAAAAATATGTGGCTACCACTGCTACTAATGGCTGTAAAATTGTGGGCTTCAATAACTGGGGCTATCTTACTCTATAATATGTCTCTTTCTGCATATGCATAATATATATCTTGAGAACGAATAACAAGGAAAATATGAATATAATCTCCTTACGGACTGGCCTTTTGTTATTCTATAAAAGGGGGCTGGTTGTGAAGTTTATATGTCCCCAGTTTAATGCTGGCCTACTTACGCGTAGGTATTTGGTATCTTTTAATGGGCTGTATGCCAATTGAAGTACACAGTGCATAAAGTTAAAAAAAAATAAATAAAAAAAAATAAAAAACTGAGAAAACAATTATTCAGAGCCGAGGATAATAACTATTGTAAGCGCATGGAGTCAAAAAAAAAAAAAAATTGAATCAAAGTATGCTCGCGTGTTCAAAAGTATTTCGTCATGATAAACTTTTTAGGTGCTCACAGAACGGAATGTTTCTCAATTACGTACCCAAAACAAATGAAACGTAATTAAAGAGCCCCAGGAATGTCTTTTACGTTTTACCCAAGCTATTTATCAATCGAATAGTTAAAATTAGTCAGCATTGCTTGGTATTACATTTGTTAATCCTATAAATAATATAAAATCCGATTTTAATTGTCTTT